TAAATAACCTCTTTCTTCTTACAGGGCCTTCCCCCGTATGGGAAATTGATTAACGTGAACTTCCAATCGTGATTATGTCTGCTAGAAGGGTGCATGAGCGTAGTACTTCAAGGTAACTCTATTCTGTCTGTGGTCCAAAAGGACAAGTCACCATCTCAGCTTCATGCCTACTGTGGTCTTAGATTTCCACCTATCTCAATGCAGAGCTCTCACTCTCACCAAAGGAAGCATGTCATCAATACCCTAGATACAAATAAAGTGCTCTGTTTTTCCATAGAAAAGACCAAGTCCTTTAGAAAATCTAACAGGTTATTCAGAGCATATGAGGAGAGATTCCTGGGAGAACCCATTACCAAACAGACTTTCATACTGGATTAGGAGATGTATAGAACATTGTTACATCTTAGCTAGGAAACCAGTACTTCCTGGTTTAAAATCCATGCCGTGAGAGCCACTGCAACATCAGTGTCCTGCCTTAGGCATGTTCCCTTGGTGAAAGTGTCCAAAGTAGCAGCGTGGAATTCAGTGCACACTTGCACCAGGCATTACTCTTTGGACTTAGCATCATGCTCAGTTTGGGAGAGCGGTGCTATAGTCCATATTTTGCTAAGAATTCCTTGCCCATCATCCACCTGGTGAAGCACTGCTTGCTAATCTCCCACTAGTTCCAATCCCTGACAAAGCCTCTCTTATCACTGCCATTACTGAAATAACAAACCAATTGATTCAGTCATCCAACACCAATTTTTTTCTGACACTTCCTACAATACAAACCATTTAATTCTGTCTCCCAACATTATTTCTGCCCTCACCAATAAGCAATTGATGCAGACAAGATCCCCACACAATGCAGATCCTCACTACAACTGATACTGGCCACATGCAGAACCACACACACACTCACACATACCTGTTACAAAACTGCTCACGTTTGACAGACTGCACACACACTACAGACCCTCCTCGTACCCAAAGCTCCACATAAATCCACACACACGCCCTCACACAGACTTCCAGCCACAATCAATATACACACTCACACAAGCCTCCTCAACTGATATTACAACACCACACACAATTAATACAAACACAGCCTCCTCCCCCACATCCCACAATTGACTTACCGCCCAAAGACCCCCTCAACAATTGATACACCACACACAGGTCTCCTCACAACTGATATGTACATGCATCCTAAGGCCTGGGGGATCTCCACCCCTCAGGCTGAGTGAGGAGTGGAGAAGGCAGGAGCTGCCATTCTGTAGCATATTCGTTGCTGGCACAACTCCAGTGCTGTGATTTCAAGAAGAAAAGGAGAGGGAGCACTGGGTTGTTCCATGTGTTGAGGGAACAACTGTCCTTCAGCACATGGATCAGCTCTGATTAATCAGTGAAGTGACAGGCGTGGGAAACAATGAAAGTGCCAGTGTGGCATCTGGGCACAAACCATCTGTTTCCAAGCCCTGGAATTAGGAGTGGAGCAGCTTGCACACTAGACCTCTAGGACAATAACAAGTTTTGTCCCTACCAAAAGAGTGTATGACCAATTAATTTTCAAAAGCAAGTTTTCTAAGCAACTGTGGACAGCACCTCTACCATACCTCCTATAAACTACTTTAAAAGATGGTTCAAAGTACAGGTAAATCTGAAGAGCAGCAAAATTCTTCCTAGGTACAGTAGGGGTAATTTTTCTGTTACCTGAAGTGCTTGAGACTTCCAAACATTTTCATTGCAATTTTATTCAATGAACTAAGCAGAGGATGAATTTAGTTCTCATGAATATATTTTGTGCATATTCCAATTTATGTTTAGTTTAACTCATAATATCATTTCATGCTGGCCAGATAATTTGATACAACATATTAATGAATACATAAACATAGTATATTGGGTTGATACAATACTAACTTTATTTTGCTTCTGAAAAATACTTGTCTTCAAATTCATCAACTGGAAAGGAAAATGTCTGATTGTGTTTTTGTCACATATCTTAGGTTACCAAATTTGCTGAGAATTGCTGTTGGTTTACCTGTTTTAGTCACATATCTCCTTTTAATACCATAACAGAAAATAATCAATAAAAGAACTCAAATTTTAGGGGAAAAAATTGTCACTTATATAAATCTGTATTTATATTCTGTATGTATTTCTAGTCTCAACAGTTAAAGAGAAAATGTTGTAAATTTTTCAAAGTTCTGTTCCAATGGTACAAAATGTGTATAGGTAAGTTATAAAATGTAAGTATTTTTCTGAGGATGGTTCTAACCAGAAATTAACCAAAATAGTTCAAGAACCATTCAATATTGGAAGGCACTTGAGGTTTGTATATATTTATTATCATGGGAATTGGATGACTAATTTCCTTAGATGTTTTTGAAACTCTCTCCTCCCCCACCCCCCCACATGTACTCTAGAACCCCATTGTAAAATGTTAATATTATAAAATAATAAGTAGGATCATTTGGAATTGATTTATTTTCCTATCCATTTTCAACTACATTCCTATGGAAATGAATGAGGGACCACTAAACTGGTTGTTAATCTTTCCCTTTTAGCTTCAACACTTAGGCAAATATATTGCCAAATGGCACAGAAAGAAGCCATTGTGTGAAGACAGATTTCTATAGAAGATGTCACTCAGTGCTGCTGTTTCACATAGCCTTCCAAGTATTATAGGTTTTGGGCATGTAAGCAAACGTTCAGATTTGGGAAGACATATTATGTTGTTGTTTATTTTGTAACTTTTTGTTATGCAAGGTTTGAGTATAGGCAATGGTCCCCGGAGAGTGAGCTATATGAGCAGCATCAGGCTTTGCTGTCTACCTTGGTCTCAAAGTAGAATCAATTCTTGAAGCAAGTTGTTCCCTGGGAACTGGACATTTGGGCTGACAGTCTAGATTTCTCCTCCAATGAGAAGCCAGTTTGCAAGTCCTCATGCATCTGTGAATGCTTTGCAAAGGGGCAAAGCTGGTGCCAGAAGGAGTAACAACATTGTACATGCTAATCGAGAAGACAGAGGTACGAATACTTAGATTTGTGTCAATAACTGCGTCTATACAAAGGGGTGTTGGGCTTCAGCCCTTTGGAAATTTACCCTTTATTATCTATTATATATTTAGAAGACCAGTACACTGAGCTAACTGTAGTAATAATAAAAATAACTATCAATGTACTTAAGGGTCTCTCTGAAATTCTAAATATATTGAACAAAGTTCTCTGCTGGCCTTAACTTCACTGAAGTTAATGGAATTAATGCCAGCACAGAATTTGTCCTGTTGCAAATGCATACATTTACCATACCCATAGATCTGTTGCGAGTCATTGCGGCCCTTGTGACAAAGTGGGTGCGTCAATGGCCAAGTGGGCTTAAGGTTCAAATAAATAAGAACATACGAACGGCCATACTGGGTCAGACCAAAAGTCCATCTAGCCCAGTATCCTGTCTTCTGACCGTAGCCAATGCCAAGTGCTTCAGAGGGAATGAACAGAACAGGCAATCATCAAGTGAACCATCCCCAGTTGCCCATTTCCAGCTTCTGGCAATCAGAGGCTAGGGACACCATCCTGGCCAATAGCCACTTGATGGACCTATCTTCAAGAATTAATTTAATTCTTTTTTAAACCGTGATATAGTCTTTGCCTTCACAACATCTTCTAGCAAAGAGTTTCATAGGTTGACTGTGTGTTGTGTGAAGAAATACTTCCTTTTGTTTGTTTTAAACCTGCTGCCTATTAATTTCATTTGGTGACTTCTAGTTCTTATGTTATGAGAAGGAGTAAGCAACGCTTCCCTATTTACTTTCTCCATTTAGGTCTATAAAATCATGACCGGTCTGAAATCAAACCTGTTGATAGCCAGTCTCCTCCAGAGCCATATTAAACAATAAGCCCACCAGATTTAAGAATAAGTAACAGGATTTTGTGAGTGCCTTTTTTGTTGTATTTTTTAAATTTTTGCTTGGTTTGGTTTTTGTTGGGGGAGGGGAGTGGAAAGACAGGTGAGTGTGTTGAATGGGCAACAACAGCAGTAAGAGATACAGGTGAAGAGGAAACAGAAGAACAGCTGATTAACCAGCATGCACTTAGCAGTTTCAGCTGTGCTGGCCACTCTAGAGGTAGAACTCCAAATGCCAATTGCAGCACACAGTAGAAGAGTGACCTTTTGGCTGGGGGTAGGGGAGCCATACAGCCAGGTAAGGAGAGCCAACTCTATGCAAAAGAAGTGGTTGTAACGGACTGAGAACACTACAGCCTTTGATCTCTGAGCAAAGCAGGGACAATACTGACTTCCTCTGCAAAGCACTTGGAGAACTACTGATGAAAAGTGCTACATAAGAGCAGAGCATTATCATTATTGAGGGTTTAAAAATGTGTGGGAAATGCACACACTTTTAGGCATCATCTCATAAGCTTGATCCTTAATTTTTCTTAGTCCTAGAAAGGCCTAGTTCCCAGGACACCCAAAACCTAGAAACAGAGCTCTATTCTTATATAAACCCTCTTGATACAGTGTTTTCTTCTCCTGATTCTTCTATGAGCTCTTCAGAGCTCAATTCTTCTATAAACCCTCCTGATACAGTGTTTTGCTGTAAGAGTGCTGTATATTCCCCCAAAAACCTGGCAATGAGGATAGATACCTGTTTGAACAATTATATTCAGTGTGTGAACTTTATACCTGCCAACTACTGTATAAATATTATCAGACCTACCAGAAAGACTGTGCTCATGTATAAAAATTCCTTTGCAATTGCCTGGCATAAATTTGCAATGGGGGAATCAAATACTGTAGACGGTGAACAGGATTTGCACCTGCATAATCTTCATAAGGTTACCTTTGTGTAACATTTCTTATCTCATTAAAAAAGATTGACACTGACATCCCTGTTAAGAATATATAGCAAGAAAATATTAGAAAGTTGCCATCTAAGATACTCATTCAAAATTTACTGAAAAGCCACAGTGTTCCTATAAGAAGTCAGATTAAGGCTCAAAATACTTACTTGACAATGTCTCCTTCAAGAGCAATCACTCGTTTAATGATCTTTTGTTCAGGGTTTTTAGGAGACCTGGGAAAGGGATAAGGTTACACAGTCAGTAATGTGCCTGTTGTTTTAAGAAAATGAAAAGAAATTCAACAAAGAAATAGGCACTATTAAAGTCATTATGGGATTCCATGTTCTCCCTGATATGGCATCAATCATGACGTTCCAGATAACGTGAAGCCACAGCTACCATTTTTATTTCAAACTATCATGAAAAACTGGGGCTAAAATATCAGCTGAATGCAAAGTCTAAGATAATCAACACTCTTTTTATAGCAGAAGAAATGGGGAAGACACTTGACACTGATGAAATTAGAATGTCCCATTATTGATGATGTGGGAACCTTTGCAAATAAATTCATACATTTAAACCTGAATTTTCCATCAAACTTTAATAGTATAGTGTATTTAAATATTCATGTCATTCATTCATTTTGAAAAAACTCAAAATGAGATTAATATTTATCATACTAATTGAGGCAAATCTTGCATAGGCAAACAAAGAAGGAGTTTAGAAAAACAGGTAGAATTTTCTAAAAGTTTCAGCTTTATACAAAGTGTCCTAATGTATCATGTGTTAGCTGAAAATTTTTTCTCATACAACACTATGTTGAGTGTGATACAGTTGCACACTTAAGCATTCAATAATCAGATAAGCCTGCATCTACAACCTGAATTCTACACCCTTCTGCATATACATTAAGATATACAATCATACTACTACTTAAATATGCAGTATAATATTAAAAACATTTCTATAACCTCACATGTGCGCATCATGTATCTTTTTGTGATATACTCAGACTTCCCCAGTTTTTGACTTGGAAATACTTAACTGCACAAACAATATAATTTTTCCATGTTCTCTTAATATGAGAGGTTTTCATTTGTTTGCTTTAAAGAAAGGCCATCAGGTAGCCCATGCTTTTGATTTTCTCCTGGCACTGACTGAGGTTCTGTACTTTAGACTCCTAGCTTAGCCAGCTTGTTAGAAATGTCATTACAGAGCTTTGCATCACAGTTCCTGCTCCTGACATCCCCTAGGCCCTGCTAGCCTCACTCCAGAAATCCACCAGTGTCTTGGTGTCAGCCTCTGGCCAGCTGGCAGCATGCTGCAATTATGTCTTCTTCTTAGGGCACATTCTTCAAAGGCAAAGTTAAGATGAGTTTGGATGGGAAACTCACCAGAGATGAGCTCAGTCACATATACTGGATGCCACATGAAACTAGGGGGACAGAACACTAAGGAGGCTTATTTGCAGTGGTAGATGACTTACGATTAAGGTTACATCTCTACCCCGATATAATGCGACCCGATATAACACGAATTCGGATATAACGCGGTAAAGCAGTGCTCCGGGGAGGCAGGGCTGCGCACTCCGGCAGATCAAAGCAAGTTCGATATAACGCGGTTTCACCTATAACACAGTAAGATTTTTTGGCTCCCGAGGACAGCATTATATCGAGGTAGAGGTGTATTTTTATGTCACGGAGGTCATGGAAGTCACGGAATCTGTGACTTTCGGAGACCTCCGTGACATTCTCTGCTTCAGCCCCAGGGGCTGCAGGACTCTGGAACTGTCAGCCAGCTGGGCCCTGTAGGGTTCCAGTGACAGGTGATAGCAGCAACAAGCAACAGGTGACAGACTCCTGAGGGGGCCCTCCTCAGGGTTCCAGCAATGAGCGACAGCCTTGGGTGGAGAGGTGGGGAGGGGGGGCACCTCGGGTGAGTGGCTGGGAGTGTCCCATTTTCTCTTTGGGAAATATGTTCACCCTGCAGCTCCCAGCCACCGTGGGTGGAGGGGGGGCCCCCTGCAGCTTCCAGCTGCCATGGGCAAAGGGGGAACCCCACAGCTCCCAGCCATCATGGTGGCAGGGGAAACTATTGAGTCGCAGCAGCAAAAGTCACAGACAGATCACGGCTTCTGTGAATTTTTGTTTATTGCCCGAACATGTCGTGACTTTTACTAAAAATAACCATGACAAAATCTTAGCCTTACTTATGGTTAGGAAACAGGCAAGAAAGGGCTTGGATGATTATGGGAGACACTGGAGAATTGGTGCCCCAAGACTGTTGTGTTACAGTACTTATCTGCAACCCTACAAACCCAACAGGTCAAATTAGGTCTGCCCTATACCCCTGGTCGTGCTAACTCATGTTACTACTACCTCCATACACATGATGGAATTTTGTTTGGAGGCAGAGATCAAGTTAACAGGAACAATAATACTATACTTCATATAGTGAAGACAAGCCCAAGGAAGGAAATGTCAGCTTAGGGACTGATGCAGATTCAAATCCACAGTCCCAGTCTGCATAAGAGAGACCAAATTGCTGAGGGGCCCAGTCCAGAGTCTCAGAAAGAAAGGGATCAAAGCAGAGAGACATCTGCGCAGCACAGATAAAGAATTTATAATCCCTATGTGGGAAGGATTCCTATGATCAAAGGATGTTTCTTCCAGAGCAATATGTGGCAATGGCAGTTCGAACCTGGTGACGCCATAATTTCAAATGTGATAATTTAGTCATTATTAGTCATTTACTGTATTAAGTCATTTAATGTGACTCTTCTTTGAAGTACCTTTCCTTCAAGCTAACTCAACTCATCTCTTAAATTTATCTCTACCATTCTGAGAATAGAGATGGTTTTTCTGACCCCTTTGCATGTCATTCTTGGGAGGAACCCACCAAGTTTTAGATGCCCATGTGGTTCTAGTAGTTGGTGCACCAACAGTACTTGTCACTGCTACCATCACTAGCATATCTCTATGTGCCACGGCTCACTTGGGATCAGGCCTAAGAGAAGAGCTCTTACTTTTATCCATTAGAGTTACTGTAAATTAAAGCAGTTCAGTAAAATTTCACAGGTAATTTATTTCATCTCTTATTCATTTAGGCTAAGTATGAACTTGTACTCCTGTAAAGTGTATTTTAACCAATGGGAAATAGTAATACATAATGTATGTGCTAAAGTGTGTGTTTGCTAAAAACTGAATAAAAACAGCCATCAAATTTTAAGTCTGCCCTTTCAAAATTCTATCTCACACATTACTTTTAAAGGTTCTTTTGAATTCCCCTCACAAGCATTTCTGTTTGATTAGCATGTACATTTTGTAATGTAATTACTGACCTCTGTGTTAATTTGCACCCACTCAGCAATAATTGTAATGACCTTGAATAAACATCATTCTAAATCAGAGGTAAGAACATTCATTCTCAAAGTGGTCACTTTTCTGCCAGTAAGGACACATTAAAAAAACTGATTTATCAAAGAGGCTTTCAAGAAACCCTTATACATCACTATTATAAATCATGAATGTTTTGTAACATCTTAAACTAGAAAAGATATAGTAATATAAAATAAGTATTATATTCATATTTTGATTAGAATTCATGTAAATGGCAAAAACAAATGTAAGACAAATGAGAACTGGACTTAACAGGATGCAAAAAATATAGATACTGCTAAACAAGGGATTTTCAGTTGGCTAAAGATAAAATATAATAAACCATAGATGAGAGAGAATATTCTAAGGTCACAGTTTTCCACTGAGGTTAGTGTAATTGCAAAGGTTCACCTGAAAGGTGCTCAATGAAGGATAGGAACCTTAACTGGCTATGGAAGACATATAAAGAGAAAATATGTAGGCAATTTCTGGTTTCAGAATCTTTCTTATTGAATGTTACTGAATATTTTAGCCAGTCTCTGGCTTCAGATCTGGTCAAAAAGTGAGAAAAAACATTGTTTACAAATAATTATTTAGTGCAAATGTTGGCAAAGTCTTGTAATTATTATTCACTCTTCTCTCTCTAGCTGTGAGATAGGCAACTCCTTCACACGTTTATATAAATATATTCTGTTCAGCATGCCTGTGACCAACACCCTCCACCAACTCCCATCTCCTACTTGGTCCTTCAGTCTCTCCCTTTGTGTTCACCCACCACACCCTAATGTCAACACCACTCTCTGGGAAGGACAGCTTCATACAGACCCCGTACAGAGACTGACCAAGGGAACAGGTTCCAGAAACTCTTTTACCCTTTGGCATCTCTCCTTACAAGTTACAGAGTTTTCTTCCCTTTACGAATATCTGTGTGAAGTTGTCCATACAACAGTAATCTTAAAATGGGATTTATTAAAAAATGGATAAATGGATTAACAACAAAAGAAACTGTTTGCTTAACATAGCTAGATTTGCACATCTCCTAAGTTACAGTAGACAAAGCCGTTTCAACTTAATTACAGAGAAAAAGGAAAGTTCTTACATGTCTAAAGAGCAAGTCCCTGCTCTGACATCCTTGTGAGAGTCAGGCCCTGATACTGTTTTCAGAGAGAGAGATGAGCAAGTCCCTCGCTCACTCAACTGGCTTCTCAAGCTCCCCTGATTCAGTGCCACAGCCTCCACTATCGAAACCAGTTTTCTCCAGTTACCTATATCCAAACCCAATGGTGTGCACACTGTTTTCTTTAGTAAATGGCGTACTGAAGAGATAAAGAACAATAATGAGGACTAGTAGCTGTCTCTCAAAGTCTTAACATTCAAATTCAGAGATTGCATTTCACAGACCAATCTGAATGTCTCTGCTCCAGCCAGATTCAATAGTGTCCTTTCAAAAAGACAGATTGGCATTTTCCTCAACACACACACACACACATGCACACACACACTCATTTCCCCTTGTTATGAAGTTGAGTGCCTATCAAACTGTACAGGAATATTACAAAAACATTTAAAGCAGAAGCAATAGTAGGAAGCATATCAATGACCCATTAGAAAAACAAACCTCCTGAAAACCATTTTAACCTAGACCCAATTCCATTCCATCTCCCAATTCCTCTCCTGATGAAAACTGTAGGAAAATAGGTAAGCCATGCAGTGGATCCCAAAAGTCACCAAATCTGAGAATAACTTGCTGCTAACCAAATCCTCTTTAAATGAGGTACACCTCTACCTCGATATAACGCTGTCCTCGGGAGCCAAAAAATCTTACCGCGTTATAGGTGAAACCGCGTTATATCGAA